TGAAACCCTCCCGGGCGGCTTCGGATTGCAGCTGTGGCTGGCGCCCCACCCTTTTTTGATGCAGCTCGGAGCGTGCGGTGGAGGGTTTGCGTGAAGGGCCGCGGGCTTCCCGGGGGTCGGGAGGGGCCGGGGCTCAGACTGCAGCTTCTCCCCGACCTCCTCCGGCACCTTCTGCTCGCCCATGCTCGGAGGCCAGGACCATGGCCAGCGCCTCCGCGGACCGCCTGGGAGACTCGCCACCCTCGACTCCAGCACACAGCGTGAGAAGAGTGAGGGAGGCCGCCGAGTCACCCGAGGAAACTGAGACGCTCCTAAATAGTCCGTGTGGAAAACCAAGTTCGCTAAGTGTCTCAGGAAGGGCCTCCCAGAGTGATCCTCCCGCAGCTATTCCGGAGGCGCTTTGGGGATGGAGACCAAAGTGGGTTATGTTCACAGGGTTAACCAGGAAAGGGAAAAGAACCGTCACATTTGAAATAGATGGTCAAAGACGGTTAGACCCCTTTTCCCCCATGTTGTATTAATGGAGAAACAAAGAAGGCTAACGTGGTTAACCTTGATTTTAGAGGATGTTTGTCATTGTCTAGCAAATACCAGTAGGGTGCATTTTAAGTGCAATCTCCTTGCACCACGTTTTTTTCTGTATCAGGGTGACCCTTACACTTACTAGCGTAATTTTTCCCCCACAGCCTTAATTTCTCAGCTGATAACTTAACAGCACAAAATGTTTTAAGACTGTTTGCTGTTTCTCTCACACCCGTGGCGAAGATGGAAAAATCAATCAATCAATGGTTATTTATTAATTACCTGTTGTGTGTCTTGCCATGTAGGGCAGGGAGAAGGTTAGTTCTGAAAAGTTCAAGGGATGTTTAGTTCTCAAAGGGCTTCCTGAATAGTTGGGAGTGGTCTCTGCATATTCCCCAATGGATTCCACAAGCATTTATTCAGCGTTCAGTTTGGGTACTTACAGTGAAAGCGTTAGACAACAATTAAGAGTTGGCGAGAGTGGCTGCCACATGGTGTTACTGTTCCCTGATGGGGCATGGAGTGTCGCATCTTTTGACTTTCATAGGACTGAATTTAGGGAAGATCAAGCATTTGCTGTCATTTTTAAAAGGTGAGCCAACTCATCATTTATGTCCATGCCCCAGCTCTGGTCGTCTGATATATTTGTATAGGGGAGTATCTCACATCCACATTTCACTCAGTCAAGCAGAACCTAAATCGAAAAAGCTTGCTTTGTTCTAAGCCATCAGACAGTTGAATAAAAGCTTCTAATGATGTAACATACTGAAAGCTGAATGAGTGCAAAATGCTTCCATAGGTGAGTACGCTGGGTGAGGACCATGGTCAGAGAGCACCGTGGTTGTGTGAGTAGCCTCATGGATGCCAAGGTGTGCTGATAACCCTACTCTCCTACAGCAGTGGTCCCCAACCTTCTTGGCACCAGAGGCCAGTTTCATGAGAGACAATTTTTTTCATGGCCGGGGCGGGGTGTTGGGGGGTTGGTGATGGTGGTTTCGGAATGATTCAAGCGCATTACATTTATTGTACATTTTATTTCTATTATTACTACAATACAATATATAATGAAAGAATCATACAAATCACCATAATGCAGTATTACCAGTCACTCCCCAGTGGTAGCATCACTGCCTCAGTTCCACCTCAGCTCATCAGGCATTAGATTCTCATAAGGAGTGTGCAACCTAGATCCCTCACATGCACAGTTCACAGTAGGGTTTGAGCTCCTTTGAGAATCTAACTCCACTGCTGACCTTGATAGGAGGCGGAGCTCAGGCAGTACTATGAGCGATGGGGAGCAGCTGTAAATACAGATGAAATTTCTCTTGTTCACTACTCCTGCTGTGTGGCCTGGTTCCTAATAGGCCATGGACCCATTGGTTCCCCACCCCCCACCACAGGGGTTGGGAACCCCTGACCTAGAAGGAGCAGAAAAACACCTGGAGAATAAAGAGAAATCATATAACACATGGCAGGTCAGGGATGGTGGTCAAGAATGGCTACTGCTATGACAATGGCAGGGAATTAAAACTCTAGTTTGAAAGGCATGGTGTTGCTGGGTTGAATAGCACATCTCTTTTCCTGCCATTTAGAACCATAGATGTTTGGAAGTACTATTTTCAGTACTCTCTGAACTTAACAGAAATTCTAAATGGTAAGCCTAGCACATTATTGTACAAGGGAGATACTTGAAGAGAAAAATACCCAATCAAAACCAACAGAGTTTTAGCCTCTGCAAACCCACCTTTGCTTCATTTGCCTGGATATTGAGAACTGAGTGATTCTGGCCTAACCTTTTGCAGCCCTCCCTGAATTTTCAGGTTTAATCTTGCCTTGTTGTACAAGGGCTGTTTGAATGAGATTTTGTCACTCATGATGAAGAGCTATTTATCTGAATCTGGGCTTATAGGGTTTGAATATTTCATGTCTATTTAAGAGGGGAAGGGCTTTTGGTGCATATGTGTACATGTGAATAATGATGGTGATTTCCAAAAGCACAGCTGGGCCCGCCATTTTGACTGAATTGAATAGTCATTATTTCGTTCTCAGCTAATGAGTGGGTTGACCTCCAGCATCTCAGTGTATTCTTATCAAAAGCTCTGACCCAGAAAGACAAAGGGGGAGAACTAGAGTGAATGGACCTGAGACCCTTGGCTCATGTGCTCTCTCCTCCTCTGAGTCTGTGTTTATAGGTGTTAATATTTGGTCTCAAGTGGCTCTGCTCACTGGTCACACTAGGAGTCCTGCTTCTTTAGCAGGACATTGGGAAGAGAGGGGACAGGCCTCCTTAGCCCAGATGTCATGTGTCTCGTGGGAGATGAGGTTGGAGAATGTGCATTTTCAGGGACTAAGTGAAATATGCTGCAGAGGGTGAGCAGGTCAGTAGCAGAAAGCAGCACGTGTGGCTTGCCCTGTGTCAGGTTTTGGAGAAGGGAAAGCCTGTACAGTGAACATGAATGAGGGGAGCTTCTATCTCATTAGTCCCCGTTCTCTGCAAGCTGACTTTGGGCCGCAGTGACGTTATACTGGTTGTGAAGGACTCTGAGCCTCTTGGAATGGACAGCAGGACAGCTCTGTTGGCCTAATTGTCCCTCAACCTCCATCCTTCCTCCAAGGAGTTCCTTCCAGCCCACCCCACACATGGTCTAGCCAGAACTAGCTGTTCAGCCAGGGATATTGGATTATGAGTATGTCTTCCAAAGGGGCTTCCAGGCCCTTCTCTCAGCAGCACACAACCTGTTCAGGCTAGAGTGGCAGGGAGGAGAGTCACCTCTTCTCCAGCACAGGTGCCAGTGAGTGGACTCTACGGAGTGCCGTTGAATTCGACAGTCACCATGTCTGTGAAATGCTTCCTGATATTCCCTTCCCTCCGTGTGTCCATCCCTTCTTCCCACGTTGATCCTTTCCCAGCCCTGGTGCCCAGTGCCTCCTCACCCTCTTACTGTCCATGGCCATCCCTACCGCATCCTCAGGATGGCCCTTCCTGATCCCTCTTCCTCCTAAGGGCAAGGGTTCCAAAATCACTCTTACCCTTTGACTTCCCTTTTCTCACTCAAAATTCCATTCTTGTGCTACTTGTAGTAATAAAGAAATCCCAATGATTAAAGACATCTATCCCTTATGTGAAAGACTGATAGCCAGTTTGTCTCCAGAGATACTTGTGTGATAATAGCCTAGCCTATTAAACAAAATTAACGTACAGTTAGTTCGTTCGTTAGTGGGGTATGTGCTGAGACTTGGCTGGGAGCCTAGAACAAGGGCAAAAATGTGATACTTTAGAGGTCACATTAGTTGAAGAGAGGAGAAACAAATATGAACACTTGAGCATTCAGGACTCTAAAAACCCTTAGACACACCTGAGTTCAAAGGGAGGAAATCAGAAGAGGGGAAGGAAATACTAGAAATGTATAATTAGTATTTCCTCTTGATTTCCTATCTGATTATTGAACTAGTCATATGAAAAACATTTGATAAAATACACACAATATTTGTCATCCTGGCCATTTTAAAGTGTGCAGATCCGTAGTAGTATATTCTCTTGTAAGTGCATGAACTAGGATTTGAACCAAGATTTTGTGACTCAGT